TATTGAAATGGGTGGAAGGTCTATTACCCAATTCAATTTCTTCTATACATAAGTCACAATAGAGTAATGTGTTATTGATATCCCATGTCGCAGGTGGACCACATTCTCTTTGTTTCGCCATCTACAGATTCCAACATCTTAGAGATAAAAAATACATAATAAATATATACTAAAAATTATAAAAATTTACAAATATTTTTATATAATTAAAACGAAGGAAATTCTGTTTTATAGTTGTGCAAGATAATTATAAATTTTTAGTTTAGACATCAAAATTAAACTGATAACTCAGGCATTAAATGTAGTGTTGACATGGTAATTTGGTATTAAATTAAACTGATAACTCAGATATTAAATAATTAAAATAATATTTGTTTACAAATGTGTACTGTTGACATTGTTTTTGGAAGATTAACGGAGAACACTTAAGGATTCTGTTCATAGGAATGTATACACGATTTTTTTTTTTGCACAGTAATTAAGAAGGAAGGTCGACATACCTGTTTGCTGCCTAGAATCGACGAAATGGAGAAGGGTTGAAGTGGAAGCAAGGTCGACAAACATGTTCGGTTCGAATTAGAGCAGAAATGGTGTAGGGCACTGCAAAACAGGGAAGGAAGAAATAAGGAGGAAGAGAAAATCGCTGAAGAGGGACGTGAGGGCGACGTGGGAAAGTGTAGGGTATTTTCGGTTTATTCCTCTCAAAACTCAGGTATTGGACGCAAACTGCTGCCTTTTTTTACTTTTGAGATCGGTATTAATACGGAGAAGTTGCATAAGTTATTTTACAAACGGAGGCTAACCAAACGAGGGAAAGGAACTGTTTCCACGGATGCAAAACGGAAACAGCATAAATTAGGAAAAACAAACGCGGCCTAAGTTCTAAGGGAAAAATAATCTCCTACTTAACAGTCTATATAAAAGATGTAAAAATATAAAAAAAAAATATTCCTCTTCACTTTTTATTTATAGGAATATGAGGGTTATAAAAAGGACTACAAAAAGAGTAACAATTAATGACTATTGGTACAAAATTATTTTAGACATGTATCACACTATAGCTAGCTCTATATACTACTGAGACTCTTATTTTTACTCCTTTATATTGAGGCAAGTTCCCTTATGTCAAGTGCGTATATGAGAGTAGGTGTAGATGAACCTAGCTACTTATGAGGGTTGAGTTTAGAAGCCTGTGGCTAACAAACACTCTGTTGACTGTAACTGTTAGACATGACTGGCTCCACATCGGACGAAATCACTCCCGACCAAAATCACCGACTCACCTACGATCAGACACGACGCTTCACCCACCGACAAACTCACGACATAAAACACTCCTCTCATTCGGTTCTCACAATACACACACAGAGACATTCTCAAGATCAGAAGAAATCGCAAGTAAAGAAGAATTAGAGACTCACCTTTTCTCCCATCCGCCGGAGCCGACGATCGCCGCCGTGCCTCCATTTCCGAACTCAACCCCTAGCCGTGGTCTCTATATCTTCCCTTCTGCACAACCTGCCGATCACCTAGCCCACTGACGCCGAGGCCGACCAGCACTTCCATCTCCGACAGCCGCCGCCTTCGCCGGCCGACCTCAGCCTCCACCTGCTCCGGCTGATTCCGCGCGTGCGTGCATCCGACCAGAGCCGATCGGGCTCTACCCGATTTCATTTGCCCTAGCCCGATAATGGGCTCCCTTATATATATATATATTAAATTATATATATAATATTATATATTATTAATAAAATAAGGCGTACGGGGTGGTTTTAAAATTTGAAGACCCCGGGCCGTCGCATCTTAGATCCTGCCGGGATAGTTCCAAATTGAAGACCTCACGCAGTCGATCTTAGATCGTAGTGGAATGGTTTGAAATCGAAGCCCCTACACCGTCGACCTTAGGTCTGGGTAGGAAGAATTACGGCAATACCGTCCCGATTTCTCCCTCGATGGAGGAGACGTTAGAAGGCTGCCGAATTTTTCATTGAACAACAAATGGACTTGGACAAAAAATTAAAAAAAAAAATTGATTTGAACAATAAGTCAAACATAAGATCAATTTTAAATCAAATTCGACCAAATAATTTTGGACTTGAACTTAAACTCGAATCGGACTCATATTTGAACTCAAATTAATCAATATAAAAGACTTGATTTAGATCTGAATTGTAACATTATACAATGAGTATGACATAATGTTTAAATTGAAATTATAGATTACAAAATTACAAGGTCTAAATGAAATGCAAATGGGTATTAATGGAAGAATCCCTTTTATCCGTCAATTCTATTCTTAAAATAATCTTGATTGAAAGTAAACACTAAAGGAACCCAAGCTATGTTAAGGAAAAGGTGAGGTTGATCCATATCATGGTAGGTGAAGACAACAATGAATGTTGTAATGTGAAGGAGAAGAAGAATTTGCAATGAAAGCTTATTTGGAGAAAATCTTGATACGTAAGGTGAAGAGATTTTCATAGACTTGGTTCACAAAGGAAGGCAAAAATAAGGATGATAGTGTAAGAAGTTTTAATCATATGCATGCTTTTCCTTGTGTTAGATTCACTTTTATGAGTCCAAGGATTAATCTCCAAAGCACACATTCTCATTCAACTATATAATATCCGCACATATAAATGATCGAAGAATAAGAGAAATGGAAAAGTAGTATATTGAGCTTCGACATATGGGCATTGACTTTGACTCCAACTATAATTGATAAAAAAAATGTGCAAGAAACAAAATCTCATGTTCAAGAAACATTCTTACAGGTGGATGATCCTCTTCTCAGTTATATATGTGACTTCCAATTCCAATTCTTCAATTAAAAGATAGAACATGCCACTTAAGGAAAAAGAGCTCAATTCATCAAGATCTAAAATTGTTAGAGTGTCAAACTATTTTTGGGAGCAAAGAATTTATAGTGCCTACTACAAGTATACTATAATTCACCTATGAGAAGTAATAGAGAATTCATAGTGCCTACAACAACCAATTTGCAAGCAAGGATAAGGAGCTTATATCAAATAAATCAGTCTACCTAACAAGAAAGAATAGGAGAACTTATACCATATAAGATAATTCTCCTACAAATACGAGCACGATCTCTTAATGCCTATTGAGAAAATACTTTCTCAATATGTGCTAAATGACACTTAGAAGAGTTAAAACAAACTAAATGTAATAACTGAAATCTAGAAAACTATAACGCCACCGGATCCGCAACATATGTACAAGCGAACAGAAGACGTTCGTAGTCCTTAAATGAAATCTCGGGCTATTTTCTAAGCAAAATCACTTGCATAATGGATTATGTTTAAATATTTTAAAATCCCCCTTATATATTAAATATGATCCCTTAAACTAAAATCAATTTCTGCATGTGCTTCGGTCAATGTATTAATGTTACAAACATCAACGACCGAGAATGCAGCGCAGGGTCAAATGCTACAATCCGCATGTGCTCCAATCGTCACATTTAAGTTCCAAATCCAACGATTCGAGAATGTTGCGCAGGTCAAATATTCATGTTTCATCCTCCTCCTCGAAAGGACTGGAGTCGACACGACTTGAATTATAAAATGCCTCCCAAAATCCTACAAAATATAAGTGACCTTAATGTCACCCCGATGATGGTCGTATTGACTGGAAATCTCAACCGGAGGGGTCAAATCTCAAATCAAATAAAAGCTCAAATTTTTTTTGAAATAAAATGAATCATCTAAAAACTCAAAACTAAAAAAAATCATCCATCTCTCGCAACCATTTGTCGGGGGTGATAAATTTGAAATTAACCTCAGCTCACAAAGAGTAAATGTTGTGTCGAGTGTATCACTAGGATTCATCCTCAAATAGTCTCTTGCCAGCAGGGACGTGGTACGTGCCCTCTGATCGGGTGGTTTTGCCGCAAAATGGCATTATTATATTACGATCACGGCCAAAGCCCGTATGTTCCCTAAAGGCGTCAAACCCTTGAGCGATGGATCATAGGGTATATTCTAAAAGTTCTCTCTTGTTATCAGGAGGGGTAATTAACTATAGGGGCTTGCGCCTATAAGAAACTAGAACTCAGATCAAAAAGTTCTCACCAAATGAGAGCAAAATCTCTGGGTAGTGTCTTATCTAAAACCCAATATGCCTTCTGAAAATTCCCCCGAAACCTAATCTCGTTAAAACTCTTTATCGTCGTCATCACACAAACACTTAAAAATAAATAGACCGATGACGCAGAGTGGTTGGGATCACACATAACAAAAATGGAATTTTCGGAGCCCACACACTCCAAGGTTATCGACGACTTATGGTGAAGTCTTGAATTTCTACAATGTGGGAAGCGAGTATTTCCAAGTAACGAGGGTAGTAAGCACCATGGCCAGCTGATTGTGAATGGACAAGCTAAAATCCTCTTGAGAAGGCCTTTTCCTACAACTTGGATGATTTGTACAACTAATGATGTTTCATCTTCAGTAGGGACGACTGACATTAATGGGCATTTCTCACTAGAGGGCAGGTCCTGATGTGTGTGCTCTGTATACATTCTTGGCTTTCTCATGGAAGGCGAGTCCCCTCTGGCTTTTACGCCATGTTAGGGACTAATAACTCTCGGGCTTTTTCACCTATCATATGCGAGCGTTCATTTTCCTCTTTAACAACATTTATAACATAGAAAGCCATAGAAAGCCATGGAGCTCCTGAGAGAATAAGATTTATGAATAAAATCTTTTGGTACAATTTTTTTATTACTTCGTAAATCAATTTTCTAATAAAAAATTAAAATTTTTTACTAAAAAATTACTTTAAGAAACATTTAAAAAAACCGTTCCAAACGAAGCTTTAATCTCATTTTTACCATGTTATAGATAATCTTTGTTCATTTTACAAGAACTAGTTTTAGTTGGAATATTTTTCTCATTAAAGTTACTATGTATGAAAGAGCAACATAATGAGTTTTCCTATTCTTAGAAGTAGCCATATTTTCCCCAAAGAAATGCAAGAAAGGACATCATAAAAACCAAATCAACTCAAATATTATTTGACCATACATCTGGAGAAAAAAGAAAGAGAGACAAAAAAAACAATCAGATAGCATTACAAATATTCTGGCATTTGAGCCTTATACAAAAGTAGAGAATTTTCAAATAGAAAGAAACAAAAGCCCTCTCAGCAGCTTCTAGACTCTTCTGAAGTTTGAAATAAACGGAATAGAACTTTTGACTTTGCCCGGAATTTATTTAGTGCTGTTGGCAACAATCTCTTAATCATGGTGCAAAGGAACAGACTCTGCCTGAAATAGTGAAGGAAGACAAAGCATGAACATTCAAGTTGCAGTAATGGAGTCCCCTCAGACATAATAAATTATACATAAAGTATACTTACTAGTTTGCGATATTTGAGGGCGTAAAACATCTCCAGATATCTCTTTGTCTCGCGCCTGTCCAAGTTAGAAACATACTTCCAAAAACCATAAACACCAGCCAAGGTCATCAATCTCTCAGAATACAGTTTCCAGGTGAATCTGCACAAGAAAAAGAGTTCAGCTTTGATGCAGTAGCAGTCTGATTGTCGGAAAATTATTACGTGCGGCGTCCGGATTCGTTCGGAGGCAAATCCGGACGCGTCACGTCAGACGGGTCCAGGTGCATCCGGGTGACGTGGCTCGATCCGGATACCGCACGTAATAATCTCTCATGATTGTCAAGTTGTTAATGCTTACTTCTCTTCAATACGCTTCATTGCTCCCTTGGAGATCTTTTCCCAGTAAGTTGGATCCTCCTTGCATTTTTCGTAGAAATTCACCAGCAGCTCTGCAGCCTTATCGCCCTGGTAGGGGTCAATGTGGAAGCCCGAGACTCCATGAACAATGATCTCTGCTGGACCACCATGAACTGTGGCGAAGGTTGGAAGGCCGCAGGTCATAGACTCCACAACTGTTAGCCCAAAAGCTTCATAGAAGGCAGGCTGAACAAACACAAATAAAGCAGCACAAATTAGACTAGAAGTGAAACTACAAATCTTCTGGTTTCTTGTTAGAAGATGAGATTACCTGCACAAATACTCCCTTTTTGTCAGCAATATAGCGATATAGCTCTCCGTTCCGAACACGATTCATTTGAGCAGAAATCCACCTTATGTGCCCATCAAGCTTATACTGCTCAATGAGACTGTACATTTTGTTCATCTCAGCTTGTTCTTCCAAGTCCTTGGATGCCTTGGCATGATCTCCAGCAACCACCACAAGGTTAACAAGCTCCCTAAGCCGAGGATTCTTACCATATAACTCAACAAGGCCAGTGATGTTCTTTACCCGGTCCAGCCTCGCCATCGAGAAAATTATGGGCTTGCTCTTGTCCTTCAATACACACCTAAAATATGCCACAGCAATCAGTTAAAATGGAGTCTAAAAAAGCCAATGAAAGATAATAACTTACTTATGCTCAGTGTTCTCAACATCACTGAAGAGTAGCTCCTCAATTTCAGGGTGGAGGGCTGTGAGCCTTTTGCTCTCCTCAGAGTAAGAAAAGTAGATTGACATATCAGCTCCTGGAGAGACAATATTGAACTTGGGATCGAAGACATCGATCCCGTGAACTACGCGGTAGAGCCCGGGCATTGTAAAGGCAGTATGAGATTCATATTGCCCCACAGTATCCTTGCTGAAACAATTGAATTATATATATATTTTTTACTTGGATCAGTAGCAGAGAGACAAAACAACAGTTTTGAGTACATTTTCTACAACTTCTAGTACCTTCCAGCAATTTCTTGGAAAGTGCTTGTTATGATGAAATCTGCATGGTTCATGGCAATAAGATCTGCAGTAAATTGGCAAGAGAAATGGTATTGTTCCTCAGACTTCTTCCAGTAGATATCAGAATTAGGATACTTCGTTTTCTCCAGAGCATGAGCAATCGTACACTGAAAATATACATTGAAGTTAAATACTAGCAGGCAATAAAAAAATTTGTATTTTGAGAACAAAGAATTTTCTACTTGCAAACCTGAGTAACTCCCAGTTTCTGTGCCAACAAAGATGCTACTAGATTTCCATCGCTGTAGTTTCCAATGATGAGATCTGGAGTAGCCTGCAGCTCCCCAGCCAACTCCTTTGCAACATCCTATAGCCAAAAACAATATGAGTTTCAACATCTAAACAAGCAATAATACAGCTTTTAGGACATTTATTAATTCTTCAAATAGATGTAGGCTTCATTTGGGACGGCTTTCTTCCTGCTTCATAAAGCTGTTTTATAGTAAAAAATTAAAATTTTTATACTAGAAAGCCGCTTTAAGAAGCAATAAAAAAGCCGTCCCAAATGCAGCCGTAGTTTGAAAGCTTTCAAGAAAAATTTAAGCCTTGCAAATTTAAGATTCCCTCACATCAGCATAAGTTTCAAGGTAAGGCCACACTTCGAATCGCGAGATCCATTTTCGAATGATTCCTTTCTCAGTCCTGAAGGGAACCCGAAGTATGTTTGTGTGCTCAGTGCCAATGACCTTCTCAAGACGCTGGCCACAAGTAGTTCCAACTGCATCTGGAAGCAATCTAGTCACCTGCACAGAAAGGTGATAATTCTTAGCCACTAATGAAGAAACAATTTATTAATATTACTATCAAAACTAATAAATAGTCGGGCTATGTCTATGATTAGTTTGTGTTTATTGTGATCATGTGCTCACATTTTTAAGCATGAAAACTGGCTATTCACAAATAAAAAGGTAAAATTAAATTGTTTGTAGGGCTACGTTGCACCGATACGGATACGGTGACACGGATATGACACGATACGGATATGGGACACGTCAATTCTTAAAAATATAGGATATGGATACGGCGCGGACATGTCATTATAATTTATAAATCATACATAAAAATTAAGAAAACAATCAAAGCATAATATTTGAAAAGAAAAAAAAAAGCATCATTTGTAACCTTGTAGCTTATAATATCAAAATAAAAGTAAACATTAAATGTCTAGTAACTCCTTTTTCCTTCCATACTCCTTTGGTTGGCTCGAGGAACTTCTCAATATTAGCCCTCTCTCTTCACGTAATTTTTTTAGTTTTTCAACGGGGACACGCGTGTCCTTTTGAAATAAAATATTATTTTAATTGGATATGGCTTTACCGTATTTGACACATATCAGTGCCATATCAGATGTGCATCCGTGTCTGACACATATCCGATTCAACATGCCTTCATAAATAGGTGTATTAGTGCAACATAGGTGAAGGGTACCCTCCCTAAACCCCGAATTGACAGGAGCTTCATGCACAGTCAACCTTTTCAAAGCCAGGTATCAGATAATTTAAACTTACTATGAGGATATGAGGAATGATATCAAGTCCCTGCTTCTTTATTCTCAGAAGCATTTCATTCTCCAGTGCACGAACTTGATCCAAAATGTATACAACCTGCCAATGCAGCCTCAAGTCAGAATAGAATGAAAACCAGAAAATAATAGAACCTCAAAGTTAATTTAATACCTGGCCACCCGTGTCAGGATAACCCAAAACATTGTCTTGTGCGAAGTAACCATGAGGAGATAAGATGACAACATTAAACACCATTGGAACAGCACCAAGGAAGCTTTCAAGTGTGTTTGGATCAGGTGCTTCAAGAAGATCGAGGAGGAGATGTATGGTCTCATGTACGCGTTCAGCTGTATCACCCCAGCCTTTCTCCAGACCAAGCTCTTGGAATCTTCACATTGTTAAATTGAATTACAAAGCTTAAAAAGACATTTTTCAGATAATCTTATTGTGTGTGTTATAGATCAGGAGTATCAGAGACTACCTATGGTTGAACTCAGAGTATGGAGTGTCCTGTGGGATGCTTATTAAATGTTGCTCAGCCTTCCGTAGTGCAGAACGAAGGGCGCTTAAGCTGTGAATTCTGTCATTCAGCATTATGCTCTGCATGCAAATTTTGTTATGAAAATCCAACTCAAATGTATCAAGACACACACATAAACAAGATATCTGTAATAATTTGCTTTATGGTAGTCATTTCGAAAAGCTCTAATGCATATTAAGACTTCGTTTGGGATGACTTTCTTACTACTTCTTAAAGCAGCTTTCTAATAGAAAAAATTAATTTTTGTACTAAAAAAATTGCTTTAAGAAGCAGTAAGAAAGCCGTCCCAAACAAAACCTAAATAATATGAATTCAATCTTGACTTAAACCAAGGGATCAATGATGTAAGATACAGAAAGAAGTAAAAGTCCACATTGGGAAAATATTGCAGATCTCAAATCTGAAGAAAAATTTAAAAGCTAGGATGAGTAATTAGATGAAAGTTCCAACAAATGATACTTAAAAGAATGTTTTAACACAAAAGAATGAAAATTTACCATTCCATTGTAGTTATGTGCTTTAAGGAAATTGAGTAGTGGGTACATGCTCTCCTTGTCATGGAACAATTTCGAAGAAAGATGCCGGTTAAGAAATTGCACCCCATTGCCGATGGATTTCGAGAGCGAAGGGCGTGGGAAAGAAGCATTGAAAGGCTCAAAGTCCAACTCAAGCACATAATTGCTTTCAGATCTGAAAGAAAACAGAGAATTGCAGCAATAAACCCCTCATCTTTGTTTGTCATAGATCTACAAATCAATAGCTCCTCTATTCTGTATAAATTTATAGAATTTTGTAAGCCAAACCTTCCGTCCACAAGCTCTTCTTTGAACTGCAAGTACTCGGGCACAGTCAATTCCTCAACAGCCAACTCACTCACATTAACCCTGACATATTCCCACACTCCAGGTCTTGGTCGGATCGCAAGAGCAACCCATGGAGGTGTGACAATAGCCTCCTGAGAATCAAACAAGAAATTTAAACCACCAAGCAACAAAATAGTAGTCAAATAACAAATTTAAAATGCAAACTAGTTCATCTGTCACACCTGAGCAGCTTTGAGAACATCTTCAAAGCCACCATTTTTAAGCTTTTCTCGATCCGCTTCAGGGATTACAGATTCATACTCTGCCAGAATCTGGTGTGGTAACAACATACCCTTTCCCTGCTTAACAAACCTACACGATGCGACCAATCTCTTACTCTCAAACTTATCAACCTCCATGATCCAATTACTTCAAAAAAAAATTCTACCATGCTAAAAAATGATATGAAATCCAATCTTTTTGAAAGTTTTGGATTGCATGCAACAACCAAGGCACAAAAACTTGAGGCCGTTTCTCAAATGACGCGCCTTTAATGCTTCAAGAGTATAACTAAAGTCCAGAGAGAAGGATTTAATACCTTGAGAAGAGGGACAGCAACTCATTAGTGTGAGCTGATAGAGTATCTCCAAGCCTTTCGCGGATGCTGTGGATGCGGGTCAAGGTTCTGTGATCAGCCATTGTTTCTCCTTCCTTGTTTCAGAGTTTCAGAACAACTCAGAACTGCAAATAAGTGAAAATCACAATATGTAAGTAATGAGCCAACAATTTCCACGAATACTTATAAAACTGAGAAATTAGACTTGGAAAAAGCCAGGAAGACTAACTTCTTCCAGAAACCTAGAATTTCTTGAAGATAACAGTAAAATTGTTACATGCAAGCATAGAACAGAACGTGGTTTATAATTCTTCCAAACATTTATGATGTGTAAACCAAACAAATGGATAAGATTGACAGATAAGCGAATAAAATTTCTGAACGCTGCCAACTCAGGTAGATGCGTTTCTTTCTTTTTTTTTTTCCACGGATTAAAACCGACGCCAGATAGCAACTCTTGACATTTTTTTTTTTCTTTTTTGACAAAAGGCGTCGGGTTCGTCACAACGTTTACCAATTACCAGAGGTACGTTTGAATACGGAACAAACCCCATTTCCATGGCAAAAATCGAATTTTTACCGGAAGCAAAATGAAAAAAAAAAAAAAATCCTGTGGCATCGTTCCATAGTTGTGATCTCCAGAAAAGAAACTTTTTTTTTCATAATAAAAGGAAAAATACCTCCACAAATCCTAAGAAGTTCACTGGAAGCCCAGAAGCAAAACTTCAAGCAAGCAGCAGAAGAATCAGAAAAGGAGACAACTTTGAAATTAACAGAACAATCAAATAAAATTCCCCCATGCGCATTCTAGAATATATGAGCCACCCTACCTCATAGAATAATGGGAAAAAAGAAACCTTTTTGCTATATATATTTTTAAAATTGCTGAAATGGAGATAGGGTTGAAAAGGAGACAGAAAAACGTGAAAAACACTCTACAATAATCTCCACTGCTGTATACCAGAAAATAAAAAAGAATACATCATGGGAATTGTGAAAAAAATCAAACATTTATAGCAGAAACGGAAGCTTTACCTTCTTGAAGACTCAAATGGCGGACTCAACGAAGGCAAAGCAAAATGCCAGAACTACAAAGAGAGAGAAAGGCAAAAGAAAATAGAATGAACGCAGTTGGGAACAATGGATGGAGGTAAGTGCTACTCTCGGCCCCTTTATATACCCGGAATTTGGCAAGGGGTCTTCATTACTTATTATTTATTAGGTAGGGCTCGCTCAGAGTTCGCTTTCGTTTGGAGAGAGAGGGAGACGGGAGGCGGAGGACCTTACTGTAACGGGAAAACTGCTTATTGAACTTGAAGCTCTTGCTCCTTGTTTTCCATCCCGCGGCCACCGCGCCTCGGAATTTGACTGTTTGGGGCAGCTTCCTCACCTTTTCTTTATATTTTTGGGGTTTTTCATATGTTCTCTTGGGTTTATGTATTTACTAATTAGAGATATATTTTTAATTAGATTTTTAAGAGTTTGATAATTATAATTTTTTTATTCTTAAAAATGTTAATGATATATATATTATTTTTACATAATAATATTTTACTTATATAAAAAAAGAAATATTTAGTTACATTTATCTCATTTATAAATAGTTACTCTTATTCATATTTTTCTATATTTTAAAAAATTATGTATTTTTTTATCATTAAACAAAAAAAATGGCTCTTAAACTCATAAATAGTGTAAATTAAACAAATTATGAAATTAAAACTTTTGATCCGTTTGGGGTGATCGTAATTTTTAGTGTAGATAATTACAATTTTTCGAGAAAATTAATTTTTTGAAAAGTTGATGAAAAAAGTAAATACTTTCCCTACATAAAAATTTTTCAAAATAATGAAAAAATAGTAGCAAAATAAAAATTATGATTGTGATTTGAAAAATAAAATAATAAGAAAGTTGATAATTTATTTTTAAATATTTTTATAGTTTTCTCAAATAAAAATTTAAAAAATTTATAGAATTCTCTGAAAAAAAAAGAGTAATTATCCTGAAACTAAGCTCGACGGAATTGGATTAAGGAAAGCACGGCCTACGATATTTTAGTAATTTTACTCTCGAATCGGCGAGTGAATCGTATAGTTTGGTGGGGCCCATGTCCATTCCCAGATCCAGCAGAAGTTGCACGTGCTCCTAAATTTCAGAAATTATTATTTTTTAATTTAATGAAAAATTCATATATATATATATATATATATATATATATATATATATCCGGGCCA